TCACACTGTCACAGCGTATTTGTTAAAATCCTATTGACAATGATTAAGATAATGGTTTTAACATAATTAAATCTAGACATAGATGACTTAATCACACCCATGTAAAACTCCTGTAACATAAAACTATACGTTATCATAAATATTTTATCAAGTTATATCGATATCATAAAGTCAAACTAATGAAAGGATAAGTTTTAATTATTGCATGATATTTAATAATCACACCCATGTAAAACTCCTGTAACATAAAACTATACGTTATCATAAATATTTTATCAAGTTATATCGATATCATAAAGTCAAACTAATGAAAGGATAAGTTTTAATTATTGCATGATATTTAATAAACGTTTTTTTTCTGGACGATTTACATATAAGTGGTCAGGAAATATAATTAACTAATAAATTAATGATAAGTATCCTTTTTGGGATGATTTAAATATATATGGTCAAGAAATGTAATTAACTAATGAATTAGTGTTTTATAGTAACTGTATTAATTATAGTAATGTGGAGACATGTTGATCAAACTTGTACCATTCCTACTTTCTGGAACTATGACGTCATGCCCGCCTGTCATGGCAGTCTAGTAACACGTCCTATATTTCGTGGAATTATTAGTAATCGTTCGTCATGATTGCCTGTAATGGCGGTCTATCAACGCGCCCTCTGGTGACAATGTGAGGAACTATGATGTCATGGTTGACTATCATGGCAGACCAGCAACACGACCCTCTCTAATGACATTATTGCATAGCGCCAGCGACCTCTGGTTTCACTACGTGGAACTATTATGTAACTGTCTCTGGTGGCATCATCATTTCTATCCCTTCTCCTGCATCTCCATTGCCCGAGGTCAACATACGTGTAGCGCCCTCTGGCGGCGTGTCCCACAAGTGCAGCCCTAACTACTATCATTACAAAAATAAACTTGCTAGTACATATATATTATACAATCGATTTATTGACTCTACTGCTAAGCTCTCTCTCAGCCAGTCACACGCATACTGCTCTTGTCACAATAAACACTGTAGCATAACTGACCTCACCTACTTACCTAATGTAAACCATCATTTTCTTTATATTAGCCTTCACAGTCAAACATTCTTATCTTGCATTCAAATCCTGATTTGAGTTTTTATTTTAGTTCGCTCTCACTCTCTTCTGGTACATTCTCGATCAAATTCCTAACATAAAACAAGAGGGTATCCTCAATAGCCGCGTCTGTAATTAGATCACAAATCGGTTAAGAAATGGAGCTATGAGCTAAACGTTTTCACTTGAACAAAATGATATCCATCCTATGGGTCCCTATGCTGTGGTTAAAAAGTGAATCTTTGTAGCAATGGACTTAACTGTTTATCAGAATTTACTCCCTCTTCTCTCTCTCTCCAGACCTGGTAGTTAGGTCGAATTCCGACACCAAAGTCGGTCGCTCTTTCAGCAGTTGGGGCATTAAAATGTGATAGTCAGTCCTAATTTTCGCTGGTAAAAGAGTAGTCCAAGAGTTGGTGGTAGGTGTAGCTCGACAACTGCCTTCTATCTATTCCATAACTTCTGAATTATAGATGGCTGCTGGTGCAGATAACCCTCAAATAGCTTTGCGCGACATTCAACAAACAAACTGCACACACACACACAATCTAGTGCGGCGATCAAGGCGAATGCGTGTACAGTAGCAGAATTAATCATCAGGGATTTCATTGTTTTTATTGTTGTTGTTTTTTTTTGCTAATCTACCTGTCTTTTAACAGATTTTTAGCTGGTTCATTTTCGTAACTAAATTTAATAGAAGGCTGTTAATTATAGTCAAATCCAATTGACTATATTTCGTTGTTTGAATTCAGGTGTTAATTAAGTAATTGTGCCTGTTTTAAAGGACCCACCCCTTTTCAGTTTAACACGTAAGAATTTCTGCGCTAAGTATTTAGGTTTTATAAAACAGGTGTTACTCTCAAACAGAAAAACAAATATTGTTTAAACTATGTAGCAAAAGTATTCAACTCCGTTCTCTATTAATATATATCACTACATTAGTTAAGGAATTACTGTTCATTACAGCTTTACAGCAGGCGCACCCAAAGATGCCATTTAGTTAGGACATTAAGAGGAACGCTAATGGGTAGTTTGAGTTATTTGAGTGGTTAGTAAATAATATAGGAAGTAATTAGAAGAAATACTCTCAAAATAGACTAATCTTTACATTTAACCTTTAAAAAATCCAAGACTATCCAGAGATTAATTCCTCTGAACCTCCAATAAAAGTTGCCCCCTCCTCCTCTTTGAAATCTGAAATGGTGTTCCTTGGCACAGCGGCAAGAAATAAACATCGAAAATAAAGAACCCCAGTCATCATTTGGCTAGTATCGATGAAAAGAGCGCTGACACGAGTTATATACTAAAAAAAAACAACAAACAATCAAACAACATTTGAGAAATGTGCCTCTTCTATTTATTTTTTCGTGTTATTTTTCGTAAAGAAAAACAAAATCCCACAAGTTATTAGTAGTTTCGTGGAATCCTTTAGATTCCATTACTTCCTAATAGTTCCAACAAGGTAACAAGGGGTTATATTTCTCACCAAGTCCCCAAACCTGCGTCAAACCTCAGGAAAAATCCAGAAAAAAATAGAAATAACAAAGAAATGGCAGCATAATCCAGGAATATTACACACACACACACACTGAACACATTTCCTTTTGGTAAGAATAGACCTGTGTATGAAAATCATTTCATCTCATTTTCGATGACGAGGAACCCACTTTGAGACTAATAATGGTTGGAAACGGCTTGAATGGGTAATGAAGAAAAACTTTAATATAAGTTTAACATAACAGCAAATTACAAAACCTTGTCGAAACGTTGTATATTTGTTGTTATGTTAAACTTATATTAAAGTTTTTTTTTCATTGCCCATTCAAGCCGTCTCCAACCATTATTTCATCTCATTGTTTCAACTTAGATTTATGGGCTAGATTAATGGATCAACCAAACTGTTGATGTAAACATGCTTTGTAGCCACTATGAGAAGAACCTATATACTAGATAGATGAAGTGAAGAAAAAGTGACATTGGCCACTGTTCAGTTCTACACATTATATAGCCGCACGGTAGCAGATATAATAAATAAACTTAGTATTCCGAAAATTGTTTAATCTCGAAGTCTAAGTTCAAGGAAGGTCCAGTTCAAGCTACAATTCGATCAACGTGTGTTATTGGGTTATACTAGTTTCGGAGAATTCAACTACTCATCAGTAACCCTGAACACAAGTTAAAAGAGAGATAAACTGGACCTATATCATTGTGAAAAATATCAACCGAACTATTGATGTGAACGTGTTTTGTAGTCATTATGAGAAAACTCTATACACTGGATAGAAATGGGAATCCTCCAACGAAAGAACAACGTTACAATATTATTCTCTCTCACATGAACACACAGTAAACATATATCAAAATGTGAGTTCCCCTTTCACTTTTACCACGTTACAATTTAGAAAAAAAGGCAATGTAAGTAACAATAAATTACAAACTAAGCACAAGTTTTGAAAAATAATAAAATGTATTTAGTTCATTTGATTACAGTATTAGTTCCCTTACTTAGAAACAAATTTCTACTGCGTAATTTACTAAAATGTGTATTTAAATAAAATTGAGTCTGCTATTAATTTTCCGCAAAAATCTTAAATTACGACAATATTTATAGTTAAAAAAAGTGAAACATCAAAAACCAGTCAGAAGTAAAAAAGAAATAACCGTCCTGCATGTATTCATGTTATTGAACTTTTTTAAAGCATCAGTTTAAAAGTAGAATAAGCGATAGTTTGGGAGCTCATGCTACACCAAATTATATAATTTTTTTATCGCAGTTGCTTGGTAAAAAAGGCTCAAAGGCTGCATGTCACCTTTTGACTGGACTAGGGATTTAAACATAGTGTTTAAAAGTAAAAAATGTATCATTTAAAATACAAATAGGTACTTAATTGGAGCCTTCATTTTGGAAAATTAACCTGAGGAACATGTCCTCCTAAAATCCCCGATTATACGAAACTTATTGGTGTTCTGTGATTGCCCTGCTATTTCTGAGGCCGACACTATGAAGGTTAGTTTGGAAAACTGTTGGGAATTATTGGAAAGACATAACAAAAATGAAGAACAATCTAGAAGAGTAATGGCAAGTCGTTAGTATATGTGTGTGGTTTTGTTTACTGTTTATGTAATTGTCTTTCTATAGCTCAGTTCAGTTATAGTTCGTTAGACTTAACAACATTAGTTTACTTGTTTCCTAGTATATATTAAATATTAAATGACGCACATTTTATTTAGAAACGTTCCCCTAGGACCATATATGATTATATGAAACAAATACTAATATGTTACTATATGATATGTAATCTTATGATTTGTGAAGAAAATAAAAATATCTGCTATGGAGATAAATAGCGAGATTGATGACAACAGTTAGACCGAGAGATATACAATATATATTTGTTGATTATTAAAAGTGATAAAGTTTGTTGCAGATACTCGCTTGATTATTATTTGTATTTTGATGTTATTTTTCGGAAGTTTTTAATATTGTTATTTCATGTAATCTTAGAAATTAGGTTTGTTCTCTTCTGTCGTTTTTTACCTAATTCGTTTTTGTAGTTATACTACATAATTTGACATTGTTTATATATATATATATATATTTCCAGGCAACTTATACTGTGATTAATGAATGTGTAATTTTTTTATCTTACCCTGGTAGTAACGTGGTTCTTTGAAATGTTAGGTATCTAATACATGTCGTTAAACATACGAAGCTTTCTCACACATTCACTACAGACTTCAGAAAAAAAAGATTGAATAAAAGCAAAAGTTAATTAATTTTATTAAATTCTCTGCACATTTCAGGTTATGATCTTAGTCGAAATAAAAATTTTCATATATTTTTTTGACACTTTTCTCAGAGATGGAAAATATAACAGTTGGTTAAGAAAGCAGGGCCAACTTACCTTAATATCAAGTAATTTCTGCCATGTCGGAGTAATAAAGTAAAGCACGCCATCTAACGCTCCTTCTTGTAACAACCCAGTGATAAGCAGAATCAGCAAGATTATGTAGGGAAAGGTGGCAGCAAAATAAACAACCTAATTAATCAACAAAATATTAGACAAAGCATTAAATTATTTAAATTTATAGGTTCAGTTTGGTTACTTGAACAAACATAACTCAGGTCAAATACACCTGTAATTATTTGATGATGAAAATAAAGTTTGGATACAGCTTGAATGTGTAGTGAAAGAAACTTTATACAGCAATATACATTTGTAATAAAATTTCTTTCACTACTCATTCAAGCCATCTCCAGACTTTATTACCTATAAATATTGTACAAGATGTTTGCTGGCGAAAAAATGATCACAATTATAATTGTCATAAGGCCTACGTTTTTAAACGCTACATTCTTTATCTAGTCCGTTAAGGATTTTCAAGAAATAGAAGAATGTGTAGTAATAGTATTATAGCCCATCATATTCTTGAAAATCCCTGAGAGACTAGATGAGAAATGTAGTGTTTGGAAACGTAGTAGGCCTAATATTAATGTCTTGCGACAAGTATAATTTTAATCACTCTTCGCTGGCTAATGAAAGGTCTACACATCATAACAATTGTTGTTGTATCAAATGGCTTATATATATATATATATTGTTCCGACCACTGTTATGTTTGTTGTACCCCAGTCGATCTGCTGAGCTCCAGATTGAGCGAAACGGGTTGTGGGTAATGGATATTAAAAATATAATGTGGTTGAAATACTATTATCATACACTCTTCTAATTCTTGAAAATCCTTAAAAGACTAGACAAAAATTGCAGTATTAAAACACGTATTAAGCCTAATACTAATGTATTTAGACATGTATAATTGTAACTATTGCGTAGCTTAATCTTGGAGACTCCTATATTCAGTCGTATATTTTATGCTTATAATATTATACTATTAAAGTAATTTTTACATTAAAATGATCTTATGTATCCATTGCTACCCGGATAGGCAATTGTAAAATGCTTTTTTTACATAGCAATTTTTTTAAACCCTAAGACACACGATTAGTACTGTTAGGTTTTTATAGGCTCTGTATAGATGGCAAGCTTTTACCGTTAATATAATGTGCTTCTTGTTCGTTAGTTCTTGAGTATCCTAACATTCTTATCTTTAGATAAATAAAAATAAAAAGAGAGTTAAAAAGAATAAAAATAGAAAATTCTATAGTTCGTAGATCGTTACTTTCTTGAAAATGCGACACTTATAGAAAAAGGTGAGTACATGTTGCTCTAAAACATTAGTTTCATTTATATGTTTACATGACTAATTTGATGAGATAGGTAAATATACAGGTGTGTGTAAATATGAATGAAGGGATAAATAGATATATAACATATATTGTTTACTTTACCTTCCCTGAAGTTTTGATGCCTTTCAATAAGCAGAACACTATAATAATCCAACTGAACAGAAGACACAGCGACAGATCCCATTTGATTCCACCTGGATTTTCAATCCCTTCCGTTAATTGAAGCACATAGTGTCTGGTGTGAGAGTATGAAATACAATAAATTGAATGATATTAGCGCTCTGTTTATGTTCATTTTATTCAAAGCGAGCTTGTTTGTTGACTTTATATAACGATTTCCTATTGACTTTCACTTAAATGTATAATGTGTTTATTTTGTTGAACTTTGCGTAAAGCTACACGAGGGCTATATGCGCCAGCCGTCACTAATTTAGAAGTAAGAGACTAGCTAGCTAACACCACCCACTGCCAACTCTTGTGCTACTGTTTACCAACGAAAAGTGGAATTGACTGACATATAATAATGCCACCTATGGCTGAAAGGGCAAGCATGTTCAGTGTTGAAATTCGAGCCCGCAACCCGCAAGTTGGGAGTCGAGCGCCCTAGACATCAGGCCATGCTTTAAATGTATAATATCAACCAACATGGATTTGTCATTGTCTATCGAGAAAAGGGCGCACTTCGAGGTAAAGGAGATTTGATGTCCGTTTTAACGTACACAACACGCTTAATCGCGATTTCCTAGACATTTTAAATAACCTGAAAACATTTTCTTTACAGATGCATTTATGTCCACCAGTGGCTCACCCATAAGGCTGAAGGCTTATGACGCTAAAAATCGAATTTCGATACCTGTGGTGAGCACGACATAGTTAGTCCGTGGTGCCAACAAACAAATAAAACTTTGTGTGTGTGTTCAGTTTTAACCGTCTACATGACATAGTTTTTGTTACAATTTAGTTATTTTAATTTTTTTTAATAAAATATGTTGATATAGTTACAAGACTAAAATGATAGAGAGATTATATTCACTCTAACCGAATATACACATTATATATATACACCTGGAAAAAAGTTAAGCACCCCCAAATATTTTTCAGGATTGCTTATTGAAAATAAGGTTTAATTTTCATGATGTTGAGCAATGTTCATAATTTCAAAAATAATTAAAAGGATGTGAGCGTTCAGGTGTGACATTTAAATCAGGCGCGTTTTTTCCCCACGTGCAACTTGCTC